TTCTTTCTGTGGTTTATCTTGCGTTCTGGAAAGCAACACTATGTCTGCAATGAACGTCGAAGTGCACGGCCGTATAACAACTAATTCGATCCTCACTTTGCTCTTCAACAGCGCATCAATATACACGGTCAGGGCGCCATATCTAAATATCGGGAAAATGAGGTCATAGCGCAGTGAAATGATCATATGATGCACAGTTTTGCTACATTCATTTAATTTTCAACTTGTTTGTGATCCTCGGTTCATATTATCTAGGGCTGCGTGGCCGTTGCCTCAGTTGTGATATTCATAAGTGTATCTCACTTCTCGGGATGCAGTCTATTTTTAATGGAGAAGGTAACAGTCACAGTAATGTATGTGGCACTTCGTTGATTCCAACTGCTCCGCAACTAATGTACTACTCAGCGAGGTGTTGAGTTGACATCACATTGTATAGCCTAGTTATGGGTTTGAAGCATAACACACCCGGAAGTCATTGTGTAGTATATGGGGATGCGTATAGAGATCAGAGAATAACGAAGTCCACAGGCGAACGCGCTGCAGCGGCGTGTTCACATATCTTCGACCACGCATATCAAGTTGTAGACAGGCTTTTGTTGCGTATACACCGTATCTTTGAGGTGCTAGTTGTTTCATTCACGCATAAAATCCATGATCACTCATCTTGCGATTCACGTGGCGAGGAATCGCGGTAAATAGGATAAACACTAGACTGGTCCGGAAGTACTGTGTCTACCGTAGTACGGTGTTAGGTTCTCTTCATCACCTAAAGCTTCAACTTCATTTAAACAGGCCTGTCGTGGGGCGTTTGAAGGAGTAGTGTCTATGGCACCACTTTTGTGTTGACGAGTATATCCACCCGACAGATAATTGTGTTACAAAAGTCAGACTAAATCCATCGCCACGAGACTGCACCTTAACATGCTGCGATGGTTTGTGTGCCTCAGTGATCCATTGAGCTATGCTGGGTGGTGCCGTTTGCACCTTCAGAGTCACTCATACCAGATTGGTCAATAGTTAGAGGTCCGACAAACTCAATATCCTGGTTCTCCAAGTTGAGGGCTGAAGTGAGGGTGGCTCCTTACTCCATAAAACGGGCTCTCTGTAATCCAGTGCCAAGACATGGTGCCTTGCGGTCAGGTTTTTGAACAAACGGCTTTGGTTGAGAACCCTAATTGTTCTGTCTAGGCCTGGGCAATCTGGCAGTATCATGCCCACGCAATACAACATGACCTTTTCTTCTAACAACCGTCGCAGAGGAGAGTAAACGGCACCGTAACTGCTGAGTCGAGCAGGGTGGATAGAGGTTCGGATGCTACTGCTCAGGCGTTCCCGTCTTCTTATCCCCCTTCTTGCGCTTCTTCATCGTTATCGTCCGACTCCAACTTTACGTTTATCCCCCCATTTTCAATCCCCCAATTCTTGGCCCTCCCCTAGCTTGCTTCACTAGTCGCTTGTCTTCTAGTTTCAACTCACAAACAATCGCAGAGCGTCGCTCCAGTCCAGTCGATCAGTCCATTTTCAACCAAGCGGACAACGACAGTTCATCTGTTTCCCTTTGGAGTCCTCGCGTCTCCCTAGGACTGGCATGCCATAACGTGCGCACTTTGCTACAGATTGACCAACAGACAGGACTTGCCCGCACACTAGACATTATCGATCGATGATTGACGTTTAGCAGAAACCCACCTGCAAGATTCCAGCTCCGTGGTTACTCTGCGATCCCCCACATACGAGACTGGCGGCACATTCTCATTGCGCCTGTCTGGCGATGATGCAGCTTCAAATGCGGGTCAAGCTGGCGTCGGTATTGTTTTGAGTCCCCGGGCTGAAGCTGCCTCGATCTACTGGACCCCAGTCAACAGTCGAATGTGCGCCGTTAGATTAGCTGGTTCGTTCCAGTTTTCGAAGTTGCGCAGGGACAAACGGTGCCTATTTGTCATTGTGGCCTACGCGCCCACAAACTATAGCAGTGATTCGGTGAAAGATGATTACTATCAATAACTTAACGATCTCCTTCGTTACAGAAGAAGCACAGATACCTTGGTGTTGGCTGGTGATTTAAACGCCCATATTCGGAAAATTGTCCTCTGATGAGCTTCAGTTGGACGTCCAACATGGTGTAGGTTCTCCTAATGATAACGGTGAATGCTTGCTACACCTGTGTGAAGATGCTCGTCTCTTTCGCGTGAGCACTATCTCGATACAGCATCCGCAGAAGAGTGACTTGGCTATGGACGCAAATCGATCACATCGCGATTAGTTACCGCTGGAAAAGCTATGTCCAAAACTGTCACTCGATTTGGAGCACGAGCGTGGACTCCGATCCCGCTCTTGTGTGTGCCGATCGGGTGCATTTCCGCGGACTTCCGCAACGTCGCTATGCGCGTATAGACACCAGTCAACTGCGAAAGCCAGGTGTTCTGAATGCGTATCAAAGTACGCTGGCATCTGGGCTGAGTAAGCGCCCACCTCCAAGATCACTGGTTGCGTACTCACAAAACGTTAATATATCAGCAGGCAAGTCTTTATGTGACAAATCAAATTGCCAACCTGGACATTTGGGTCTCTACACAGTCTCTGGAAGTTATGGTTGCTCGCCCACGCATTCCGGCTGGAAGCAAATAGTATGATTCACGTAAAAATCTCAGGGCAAAACGTCGTGCTAGCCTAAAGAGAGACCGCGAAGCGTGATTGTCTCATCCTGCTTTAAAGATGGAAACAGGTGCTGCAGTTGATAATCGTGCGTCTGATACCGGGAAACAGGCAGCAAGAGACCTGGTGTTAGCGATAACATACGCGACAAGAGTGGACAGCCGATCCACAGTCTGTCAAAACGCTTGGAGCATTGGATCGAGCATTTTGCAAAGCAGTTTAACCAATCCTAGTTATCGCTCTCTTTTTCGGCTATCGAGTGCCCTTCTCCTTGGAACCGCCTTGACGTGCAGAAGTCGAACGTGAGATCAAGTTACTGAAATTGCGTAAGGCCGCAGGGGCAGATAAAATTCCCCCAGCCCTCTTCAACTTCGGGAGATCTGCTTTAGTAGATGATGTACACGAGTTGCTAGTGAAAATTTGGGAGCAGGAAACTGTCCCGACAGTCTGGAGCCTCTCCGTCATTGTCCCAATTTTCAAGGGAGACTCCCATTCGGAATGCGGTACTCAGAAGGATCAGTCTGATCTTAACTGCCTCTAAATTGCTTGCTTCTGTCGTTCTCCACAGACTGGCACTCGTGAAAGCCGGGCTTCGTCGAGGCTGCATTGACCACATCTTCACCTTGTGTCAATTGCTGGAGCACCGTCAGATATATTGACGGCCCACCGTTGTCGTATTTCCTGACATAAGTGCCTTCGATTCGGTGGAACAATGCTTTCTTTGGGACTATCTGCTGAGGAAAGATGTGCTGATAAATATATTGTCAAAGCGCTGTACGCGCATAGTTCTGGAAGAGTGAGGGTTTATGGCAAACTGTCGTCGTCCTTTAATATCTCCAGCGGTGTGAGACAAGGTTGCCCGCTGTCACCTTTCCTCTTTCACTTCGCTATTGACGGAGTCATGGAAGCAGCATTCGCTGAACACGACCTAGAAGGTGTGGAGCTACTTCCTGGTAAGCGACTTTTTGACTTGGAATACGGACAATACTGTCCTCCTCTAGTACAGCTCCCAAATGTGCCAATCAGCACTGGACCGAGTAGCACTGGCTGTCAATCGCTTTGGGTTATGCTTTGCTCCATCGAAATGCAACGCCCTACTCCAATATTGGCAGGGACCCACCCCTGTGCTAAAGCTTCGTGGTGATCAGCTAGATGTCGTTCAGAAATTCAAGTACCTTTGAAGCTATATTAGCGCCCGTGGGATCTTAGATGAGGTTACGAACCGTATAGCAAAAGCTCGAGGTGCTGTTGCCAATCTCCGCCACCTGTGGCGCAGACGCGACATTGCTCTCGCCCTGAAGGGCAGAGTTCATAACGCAGCCGTCCGTTCAACCCTCCTATACGGTTGTGAAACCTGGTCTATCATTTCGACAGACTTAAAGAGGCTCGTCACATTCGATCATCGCTGCCTAGCCCATGTCTGGTGGGAGCACCGCGTGAGCAATGAGCGTGTTCGGCGTCGCGTATTTGGTGCAGGAAGAGCGAGTGAACCGCTCAGCACCATTATATCACGCACCAGGCTCCGATGGCTGGGCCACGTGTTGCGCATGCCAGCAGATCGACTTCCGCGACGTGCATTGTTGGCGCGTTGTGGGTGCGGTTGGAAGAGGAGGATGGGAGGCGAAGCGATGACTTGGTCGAGAGAAATGAAAACCTTCACTTCGAAGCTGGCGTCGGTTGGTGTATCCCGACTGCCTGGCTGGGGCTGGAAGGACGATGAACACGTTCGGTTGGACACGCTTGCTTATATGGTTAGAGGGCGGCCCCAGTGGCGCTCGTGAGTTTATTTGTTCATCCCCGTCCTCTTTAGATTCCCCATCCAATTCCGATCTCACACAAAATGCATGTAATATTTGACATTATATTACTTGCTTTTTGTATTCCTTTTAGTGTAATTTTTCAGAATTTTATCTTTTGGTATTGCGGCACATTAGCTGAGGTGTGTTTCTCACCTTCAACTAACGTGTATTGATCTGATCTGGCTAAATCCATAAACTACCAATCTTATTTGTCGACCTAGACGTAGCAGAAGCTTCCACCGAAGCATAATCGATCTACAGAGGCTGTGTGTGATAAGTCCGCCTACTTAGTGCTGCCGGTGTGGTGCATGATGGTCATGTGCGATGACTCACAGATCTTATCTCTTTCGTGTCCAAAAGTGGCAGATCGCACCGGATCGTCTCAATCTTCGGTTTTTGACGCGACTCGCTGTTCTGGGGTGCCGATTTCAGATGTTGACAAGTGAATACCGACAGCAAAACTAAAATTGTACACAAGACTGACGCGGCATCACCGACGAGAGCAGAAAAACGGTAGAAAAATCACATGACAAGTCGATTTTACGACTAACGATGGGTACGAGTGAACAGTGGCGATTCGCCATATAGCGGAATTAAAACTGCAATCATACCCATTCATCCGTGAGCTTAGCGACCTCGTTAATCAGACATTTATACCGCGTCAAGCAAGGATCAGGTTGAGAACAGAATGCATTTTTGTCCAAAGTTCTCGATCAGCAACCGTAATGACAGTTTACACCGAGTTTGATGTATTAAGTGGAATTTCTTGAAGTTCACTAAGTGCAAGTAGATCGCGAACAGTAGAACACACAAAAATATCATTTGATGAGGGGAAGCAGTCAAGCAATGGAGTTGACTAGCATTGTACATTACCAGATGGCTGACCAATCGAGGGCACAGTGTTTAAATCTACAACTGTTGACATAAGGGAGTCCAAGGGCAATCACTTATAACGGACATAGGTGGGTGTTAGGTTAAGGAAGAGGAATGTACAACGCTCTTGTTCTGTAGGTTTGGCTTAAGGGACCGGGTTCATTCAAGTACTGAATGGAGCAAGTGGGCAACGAGGACACGGAGCGCAAGCAACCGTCACGATAACATGCCACCCATCCAGTGGGATCATCGTAGATAGAATGTTTGGAGAAAGACGAGATGTGTATCACAGTCACCACAAGTGTGTTTCTCGGATTTCGCCGATGATTTGACTTGCCCTTTGTAAAGCCTGAGATGGATAGAATGGAAAGAACACACCGGTGACGCTCTTCGGATGAATGCGATGAGGGATGTATAAGCATTCAATTGATGAGAAATAAGAACGAGATGTTCGAGATTTAAGTTTCAGAGCTACCGGTTGTCTGCGTTAGAGCGCGGTGAGGACTGCGTCGGTTTCTATCCACTGGAGAGATACAGTTACAAATAGTGGAATAAGAGCAATTTTTTGAACAGACACAGAATTACACTCTTCTGATGCGGATTGTGCTCCGGGTTGTGCAGTCCGCAACAGAGTGCCTTAGCATCGAGCCGGTGCGCATTGTCCACTAGGAAAACTACTGGAGCATACCTCATAAAAATGAAGAATCGCCAACAAACGCCCAGGCGGTTGGTACTAGTCAAGCACTGGGTAAATAATCGATGAGTATGAATTGAACGCAGTGGCATGTTGGTTTAGAGCAAAAATTGTACAAGTTATGCAGTGCGCAGCTAGATGAGATAAGCGTTAATGCGCGATTAACACTTCGGAATATCAGCAAACCGCGAAAGTAGATGCCGAATAAAGCACTATCCGGATGGAATTCCCTTATGCAAGCGAGAACATTTGGAACTAACCTTTAGCATTTCGGCTGCTTCTCGTCGTCTGGCGGCGACGCGGTCGCTTTCCAGCAACAGAGTATCGTATTCATCTTGTCGGTACAACTTGCTCACTAACTCGGATTGTAAGTTGTCCTTCACGTAGTTGACCAAAAAGTGCATAATCGCCTTTGGAACCGTGTCTTGAATATTCTTCCGCACGATAAGGAAGTATGACCGAATCAAGCGACCTAAGAGGCGCAAACGGTATTTTCGGATAAGCATAATACCAGTGAACACAGTTCGGTCCATAGCTATCAGAAGTACATCTGGTTGCGATCAGAATGAGCAGATAGCCAAGCTGGCCTTTGAAAAATGTGTTTGGAATAGACGACGAATCTGAAGCCAAGGTTTCAGTGGCAGTAAGTCTAATCTCCCAATCTGGAAGTGTACATCTGCGTTTAAGCCCATGTACGCTCAACATCGACAGTGCTGTTGTTTGCAGTCACTCGGTTAATTGAACGCAGCTGATCAAAACCCATCCAATAATAAACGACAATTTTCAAATGTTGCAATGTACTACTTACCCATCACAACGAATAAAACAGCGGCACTCTATCAGTGATAAACTGGCTTTATTTGCCACAAGAAAATCGTCACCATAAGACTTGATCTTACCGAGACGTGCGCCTCAGTGATTCAATGAACTATGACGGATTGCATCTGCCAGGTGCTTCTAAGCCACTTATACCAGGCGTAGCGACGATACGAAACGGAAACGGGGTAATGTTTAATTTTATAACGCTGGACAGTGAAAGTAGCAAGGTGGCTGTCTCGCCGACGCTGGCTTATCTTCGCAGGCTTCTTGGCTCTGAATGTGTGCCTAGTGCATTTACGCTAGGTAACCGTTCTCTCCATCTTATTATTCTTCATTCCTTAGATCATTGTAGTTGTATGGCGGCGAAGCATCAATCCAAATGCCTGATGTACGGCGGATAATGATGGCGATCCCAGTCAATGCAAAATCATTCAACGCACTGATCACAGCTGGGCAAGTTTAACAACTGCCAATGAAATAGAAATTGAAAAAAACGGACCAAATCAATAGGGGGAGGAAAACACGGAGGGCAGAAAAGAGTATGAACTAATGAAATTGAAGTACCAGCGGTTACATGCGATACTGATTCGGTGGCCGTGGCAATTTACGCGATTCGCAGCTTCTCGTGCTACCGAATCCGTGCTCATTATCCGGGAAAATGTTAAGCATATCTAGGACAGCTCTGCTTCAAACTCCATTATGGTGCAACTTGACCATAGGTTTGTGATTAACCGTGCAACAAAGTGGCTTTTGTTTACCAGGCGAAAACTAAACAAGATCGTGCATGATATGTTCGTTGACTGTGTTCATGCCGTAGGGATGATCATGTGTGTTTCAGTTTAGCTATTTTAATTCGTTAAACAACGGTGGGACAAGTTCCGGCTTCGTGTAACAACTGATGTAGCCTCAGTTTGGAGACAAGAATCATTCGTCTGACGCAATTAGCAATGTTAGAATAGTCACAGGTAAACAACATCCTTAAAACAATGATGTTCACAATACGAGGAACAGCTCGTCACATGGGGACGCAAAGCGGATAACAGAATCAGGGCACCAGCTTGTATTGATCTAATGACTCCAGTAAACAGTAAGAAAACGCTTCCCGGAGTACCACACTTTATAAAGATCAGTGATAAACAGGCAGCCAAATAACTACGGCAGTGGAAGGTTAGCGGGTATATATAAATATATATATATATATATATATATATATATATATACATATATATACATATATAAGAATAGGATGGCTGGTGGCATCCGGTTTCGGATTTACCTGTCCCAGTGGCTTACGCGGGACGCCTGCGCCTACAGAAGGACCATGGATGGCTTGCGCTTCACCACCCACAGCTCCAACCACACCCCATTTCCAGTATAAACCCGAAGGAATAAGACCGGGACATGTGTGGATGGGAGCCAAGTCTCATCAACGGAGTCGGCCCACACTCCTTCACAGGCAAACACAAGCACGCTGTATTTGGCAATGAAGCGCACACAACGCGGTGGCTTGTCCGTAGTCCGCTCCACACTGAGTGCATGGAACCACTCTTCGAGCCTAGCACGGCTACAAGGACCGTGCACCCCGTCCTCTCCAGCAACGACCAACTGTCTCCTGGAGCCATTATGGACTAGGTATTGGGTAGGCACCTTGTCAACATGCACATCGAGCGCAGCCACACCGAGGATATCAAGCAAAGGCCAATCGCTTGAAATAACATTACCAAATAAAGTTTATCTGTCAAAACATACGACTATGCCAACATAACTCTTCGCTAAATTAACATCTAATGCAAGTTGGTTAGCAACGAATCCGCCATATGTACTAAAGGTCCACAGGTATATACAAAAGATGCCACAAACGCGACAAAGTTAACGAACATAAACACAATAATCATAAGCAACGTGTGCAAGTTAATATAAGATTATTCAGACAGACAGAAGAAACCAAATAAAGTGGAATGAAATTTATCCAGCTTAAACAGATCTAGTTTAAGTGTAAGTTGGTTTAGCCCAACTGCAGTGAAGAAGCACCATGATTACAACATAAGCCTCAGCCAGGGGGCACTATATATTTACGCGGGAGACCCTATGGTGCACTGAGGCTGGTGGTGGCTAGATCTTGACAGATGGTCCACCCTTTGCTGCAACTGTAGTGCTGTGCTCATCTCCTGGACACCTCGTGGCAACCGCTGGGTGGGAGTCGGGTTACGCCCTTCTCTCTGCTAAGATCCAGGACACCAATCCGCATGAGTCAGGCTAGACCTGCAGTCTTTCGGGTGTATATTTAATCGAAGGCTTTGGCTGAGAACCCGAGTCGTTCTCCTGTCATGTGTAGTCGCCCTGACAATATCCTAATCCATCCTCTTCGGAAGTTAGGTAATGGTCGATGGCCCTCTTCCTGTAAAACCTAGCCATGGGAGACAATAGGTCTACGCGTTATAAGCTCATAGCTCAATTGGCGTAGAGCACAAGTGCCACGCATTGTCTGACGGTGGTTAGGGCACCTCCGGGTGTTCAATGGTTTGCTATTGTCCGCCTCTGGCCAGCTGTCTGTGATGGTAATGTTGTTTGCAAGGTATGGGCGGCTTGACCCTGAATGTTTGTTTGGGCATTAATGTTTTCTGGTACGTCCCGCTTCTTTATTCGATAAGTCATCATGTTTGTATGACAGCGAAGCATCATTCGAAATGGCTGATGTACTGCTGTTGATGATGATAACCTACTAGATCCCGATAACCGACTTTCCTCGCTGTGTTCAGCACTCTAAGTCTGAAAAATCTAGGACGTGAGGCCCATGCTTGCAAACTGGGTACCCGAAGGGTTGATGTAATGTATCCCCAAATTAGGACATACAAGCCACTCGCAATTCTTGAGCGAACTGCGCTCAGCCCATTCTCTTGCCTTTGGTTTCACGTGTCCGGAAGAGGAGGCACGTCAGCTATCTTTCTCAGCCCTGGGGTCAATTATTCGGTGTTTGTACAAGCAGTTTACCTAACGAGACGAAAGCAGAAGCATGGGGTAGATTTGACACTGCTTGTTCGTGACTGATGGATATGGGTTCAAGTCTGATGTGGTTTCTTCATTCATGGAGGAGGGGGGTATTCGGCAGTGATAACAAAAGTGACTGTTAGAGAAAATGGTAGTAACATCAATTACTTTTTAAAGGAGCTAAGGGATGCCTGATAAATCATGGCTTCACACGCGACCATTATCACCATATCATAGTCAACGACGAAATTCGTAAAACAGTTGTCATGAGCGATCAACAGGAAGTATACCAAGCTTAATTTGGCTCAGACAAACAACCATGATGTGAACACCGAGGTGCGTTGTTGTGACAACACTAATTAACATCGGCTGGGAAAATGAGAGTAAACGAAAAGTGAAAAATGCAGAAGTGGATCAAGAAAAAGAGCGGATGAGACTGTGCTGATCGGAACGCTAACAGCCAGATACGAGAATTGGAATGAGGGAGAGCCACTAAGTACGTGAGTGCGCAATGTCTGATAGGGTTTTTAATCACTGATGAGATCCATTCCGAGACTTCCATCCACGAAGCTAGGATTATCAACCACGTCATTCAATGCCCATCTCGCAGAACTAGATGTAGCGACAGCATACAATGCACGACCATATGGAGGACATGACCAAGTCAACGTAGAATGTGCAACTTCAGTGTAGCATCAAAAAGCTCATTTCCAAAACCAACTGCCGGACCTCGGTATCGACCGCTTGATGCTGCAATCAGATGCAGGCAATACCCACAGCAAGCCGGAGGGGTTTGACAACGGTGTGAAGCCCCTTCAAGGATAGGCAGTATTACAAGCAGGCACGATCAACTGAGATCTTGGTATCACTATACAAACACTTGATTTGTCAACGCATCTTCGAATGGGGTTGAAGCTAGTCTGGCTTTCACCGGTACAGCTATTACGAGGACAAGTCAGCTACCACAGTTTGATGTTCTAGAGAAGCATAGAGGCAATCGAAATAAGGCTAACGTCTCGATATTCGAACAGAGTGATATTGTTCATTCCGAGAATCAGGATGACGGTGGCCAACTGCAAGCGTGAAAACATCTCCTCTGTGTCTCAAGATGTACCTTTCCTCTTTCAAGTGACAGCAGAAAAAGATCGTTGTATGTGGATCTTTTGCTCTGTTTCAACGAGATGAGTACCTAGTATCGCTCCAAAAATGTGTGACAAGCGTCCATAGTTAAAGTGATCTAGTAAGTGATCGTCTTACCGTAGAATAGCTTGACTGCCCTTCACAACATTCTACTCGACACTGTAGTAAAGGTATGTAAAAACGTACCAGCCGTCTATCGATCTACCTGACGTCGCACCGAGGGTTGTTTTTCGGGACCGCATTAGGCCTTCTTATTTGGTAGTAGGCCGAACCGGTGACCATCGAGATGGATTATACGGTGGAAGATTGGGCCCCTGTTTCGCAACCGACCAAAAAAGGCTTATGAAATGAGCAATCAGTCACCGGTTCCCAATGGTCGCAATATATATATATATATATATATATATATATATATATATATATATGAATAATCTATTAACTACCCTAGGAATATACATGGAGCCATCAAAAATCATGGAAAGCAAAAGATATAGTTCTCATAAAATGAAAACCGAACGCAACACAGAAAAGTCCATGGTTTTCGTAAGGGGGCACGATACTGCACGGTTGCTCAAGCCGAGGTGGGATTTTGACTTAGGGAAATCACCCCGAGCCTTTGGCTGAATAACCCGTCCGCAAGGCAGCGGAGCCAATTCAGGGAATTGCGACCATTGGGAACCGGTGACTGATTGCTCATTTCATAAGCCTTTATATATATATATATATATATATATATATATATATATATATATATATATATATATATAAAGCAGCAAGCAAAGGAAAAACTAATAGGTGCGTGAAATGGGAAGGAAGGAGTGCCTAATCACATGATGATGTTTGGTTTGAAATAGTTGGATATGAGGAAACATACCGATAATGTCGCAGTCGTGACGTTCGTTCGGTGTGAGTTTGTGTTGTTGCACTTCCGTTTGCTACCAAAAGAAAAAGGGCCTGATAAGAATGCGTAACCAGTAGACGTTAATGGTTCTATACATTTGACTTAACAGACGAGTACGTAATTTGTATAGAAAGATTCGTCCAGAATGCACCAAGCGACAGGAACCAACGGCATAAGGTGTGTCGGACATGAAAATGCAAAAATCCTTGGTAACACTTCAGATACAAGTATACGACTTAATCGTGCAACACACGAATGTGAAATATGTAACTGAGCATTGTCGGTAGCAGCTACCTTTTCAACAGAGCAACATCAATGTACGAGTGGAAGAAGCCTATGCAAATTTGGAGCCACAGATAGTGTCGCATTCGATCGTGCGTCCCTAGTATCAGCCAACGGAGAACATCCAATTTATGACAAACACGTTAATGCAACAGGGTGCACCCAATCAAATTGAGCACCGAGGCACCTACTCACAATATCAGGCGTGAGAGTGAGACCGCGCTGGTTATCGGAGGATAAGTCACGCGAGGGGGAGTTTAACCTCGACTCCATTGTGAGGGGTCCGTTTAGAGTGGCCAGGGCATTTAAATCCGCTTGAGAGGATGCAGGGGGTCGGCGAGGGTTGATGGGGTTGTTGCCATGTGCAGAATTCATCAATGGGCCCGAGGTAGTGTTTGGATCTGTTATAGCCTGTAGGAAAACCATAAAAGATAATTTTTAAATCAAACACCAAAACAACAAGATTAAAATAGAAACAGACTTCCACAACGATCGGACTAGGAAACTTAGCACAACATAAACGAGTTAATCGGGTGTCACAACAATCGTATTATTGGATATGAGTGAGGTGCTTGCCAATTCGAAAATGGATTGGAATTGAGGAAATAAAAAGTTGGAAAAAGAGGATAGTGCAAGATCGTATGGTAGAATATTTGTTTACAACGACCAGTCTTGTTGTAGACCATAACACTCAACTGCGAAGGCAACTGAGGGCTTTAAAGCATCAACTGAAGATGGGCAAGGTTTGTGGTAGGAAAGGTCAATGTAAGCACGCGTTTGGAAACATCGGAACATTGAATATCAAATACTGAAAGCAGAACTGGAGTACATCTTTGTTGTTCCGTCGAAATAGTGTCGGGCATAGTTGACATAGTTCGGTTGTGCAACGTCCTATTCAAGTGCGATGCGCTCTCAAAACTTGAACTACGCAAATTGGTCGACTAGGAATTGCTTGAATTCGGACACCGATTTCGCTTTGACTATTTTCTCGAGCAAACTTTTCCAGTATTTCACCACTTGACGCTCAAAACATAAATGGATGCGGTACTACCAGTTTGTACTGGTACCCGCGAGTGCTACTTAGTGCGCGCGGCAGTCTCAGCACAGGGAAGTCACCCAGTATCAGATGCGTCATTATGAGGTCAAATCCAGACCGAGGATACGGCAGTGTGTACAGCCCCGCTACGACATAATCAGTAAATTTGGGATGAGCTTTACAGCTACATGATGATCCCGTTCAAGTTTCTGCACCACGTTACGTGTAGTCAGCCAATGTGAGAGCGATTTGTAACTCGGGTACTCTTTTCAAACTAAACGCGGAAGCCGTGTTTGAGCGCCCAAAGCATGCGTTCCCAAACAGTATGTTTGTGTTATCTACGGAAAAGTGTGGAAATGCAGTGGTTGGCCAGCCAGTGTGTACGTACGTCCATCACCAGTCTTCCCAAGACTCGTAAATAACGACTTGACCGGAAGCTTGACATCTACAAGTAAATGAGGTTAACGAGCTTAGATTGAACAAAATAATTCAAGATACGGTACCATTCACAATTGCTACAGAAACTCAATGGTTTGGAGGAGGCGCAATGATTCGTGTGCTTCCGATGGCACCTCACGAACTACTTCAGAGCCTGGTTCGGTGTTACTCCTCCAAATACTGACATCCCACACAGCGAGTACTCCAAATCGAAATTTGTGTCCTTCAAACAAACTCAGTTCCAGCATCCTCCACTCAAAAGACCAGTGTTATCTACCACACAATCACCGGCCATGAGAGAAAAGAGCTTATGGATTCTAAGGCCAAATCGACTGGGGTGGAGTACGAGAGTCACGAGCAGCGTCTGATGTTGGAAAGTATATCGGCCGTTCATTGGTTTGCTACCCCCAGCCTAAAAGTACGTAGCAATGAACCACAAACTCTTGGAAACACACCTGCGGATGGTCATCGATATATGAGTATAACTTGAAACGGCGAGAACCTTTCAACGCTGTGTGTTTTCTGCTTCGAGTTGATCCAAGTAGGATACGGCAGTATAACTTCCAAGCTTAGCATAACCCTCATTAACTTGTGCGTCAAAGTAGGCAACATCCTATAGAATCCTTCCTGTAATGGTCAACTGTATTGTCGTTTGTGAGCAAGGCTTATCCAACAAGCTCTTCTATTTCACCGTTTCCACTTTCTGAGTCCCCTCTTCGCATTCCAACTATTTGGAGAAAACCTTTTGGCTAAATCAGCCACAGTAAAATGGGAATCAATCTATCACTTAAAGCAATAATGTCATTTCACATTGAGTTATCCAACATCCGCTTACTGATCGGTAGGCAACAGCTGATAAGGCCTCCATCCCAGCTGGTGTGTGCTGTACCGCCGAAGCACACAAGTCATTGGAGGGTTACCAGACCATACAATTGGTCCACACTGATGTCAAATCCATGATTTTAGCCATTTATGGTATCGAAAACACTACTAGGAAGGTCCCAGTGAACAGCATTATGTGTGCAATTCAGTTTGAAAGCGCGGCTGGAGCACGATAGCAGCTGTTGAAGACAAGGTGCCTTTCGGTTCTAACCTGCTCTCTCATCGACTACAAACCAATGTGCAAAATAGTACAAATATTTTTATCATCCCTGGCGATACAAACACTGTGGTAGGTTATCTACCAGACATAGAACATTGCCTCGAGAGCCATCTGGGAGTCGAAGTTAGTGTCAATAACGCTGCGGAAAAAGTTTCTTAGTTTCATGCGACCGCGACATCTGGATCGGTAGCAGCTATTAAGCGCAAGCGCTCGCATCGCTGCACGGTATCTCCGTACTAAAGTTACCCACAATGCCATCGGCTGCTGGTTACGCGCGTCAGTCTATGAACATCGGCAGGACTGAACACCTAGCTCGATTCAAACCGGACTCCTGTGCACATCCTCATACCAAACCTCTGCTATCAACTTGACTGTTGACTCCCCCTACACTGACAGCCTAGCACCATTCAATACGAGATAAGGGAAGCGAAACTCTCTTGGATAAGCAGCGTATGTACTCGAGACAATGCGACCTAATTCGGATCTAATTTTTATCAAACAAACAGACTTAAGCATACATCGTGGCGGACAAGATGTAACCACACGACACGAACAATGCTTAGGAGAGAACAGTTTTCCCGGTTTCTCGAAAGGCTGTTGATTCTGTGGCGACACTGCTCGTCGAAGGTGCGATCTGCACCTCACAGAGTGGGACACCTCAAGACTATACGTCCAGTGTTGCTGGCATCACTTCGCACTAGTCAAATAGCAGAATAAGATCGTCTGCGAAATCAAGAGGAATCAGTCATTTTTCGGGAAAAGCAAAGAAAGAACAATCCATGGTGGAGTATATGATAACATTGAGTAGGCATATTCATGCACGTGATGGACACTAGTCGTTATCAGATAATCACCATCATTATACGCATTAGCTAGAGATGGGAAACAGCTCAGCTACTGTGCCGCAATACATAGAAAAAAGGAGAAAAAAATGCAACGGCTGAGCTCCCGGTAACGGATGGACATCGTTCCAGTTAGCCACCAGACGGCTACTGTGCATCAAAAAAATTCTTATGCAAAATTATATAAGGCTAAATAGTGAGATCGTGGTTGGAAGGGGAGGTTAAGAGGGATGGGTTGGGACAAAGAAACTCACAGCACGAACGCCACTGAGACCGGCTCCTAACCATATCAGCAAGTGTATCTAGCCAAACGTGTTCTTCGTCTTTCCGACCTCAACCAGGAAGCCGACACGCTCAAACCAAGGCCAGCTCAAAAGTGAGGGCCTTCATTCCTCTCGACCAAATCATCGTTTGGCCACCCCTCCTCTTTTTCCATCCACACCTCCGGCGCGCAAACAACGCACGTCGCGGGTGTCGGTCGGCTGGCATGCGCAACACGTGGCCGAGCCATCGGAGCCTGGTGCGTGAAATAACGGTGCTGAGTGGTTCATTTCCTTTTCCTGTGCCGTAAACAAGGCGTCGAACACGCTGGTTGCTCACGCGGTGTTCCCACCAGATGTGAGCTAAATTGCGAAGGCACCGGTGGTCGAACGTAACTAGCCTCTTTATGTCCGCTGATCTAAGGGGCTAGGTTTCACAACCGTATAGTAGGGTCGAACGTACCACTGCATTGTACACTCTACCCTTCAGGGCAAGAGTGATGTCGCGCCGGCGCCATAAGTGGCGAAGGTTAGCAAAAGCGCCCCGAGCTTTTGCTATACGGTTCGTGATCTAATCTTCAATCCCAGGGGCGCTGATACAACTTCTCAGGTAGTTAAATTTTTGGACGACTTCTAGCTGATCCACACCAAGGGTTAGCGTAGCAGGCGGTCCAGACCAATCCTTGGGGAACGCTTTGCACTTCGAGGGTGCGAAGCAATGCCCGAAGTGACGGACAGCCAGTGCTAATCTGTCCAGTGCCGCTTGGCACGTTTGTGAGCTGTCACAGATTAGGGAAATATCATCGGCATACTCCAAGTCAATGAGTCGTTTTCCTGGGAGCAGATCCCCACCTTCTAAGTCGTGTCCTGTGAACGCGATTTCCATGACTTCGTCAACAGCGAAGTTGAAGAGGAAAGGTGACAGGGGGCATCCTTGTCTCACAGCGCTGGAGATATTAAAGGGGGACGACAGCCTGCTGTAAGCCCACACTCTGTCCGAGCTACGCGTTATGTAGGCACCCAACAACTCGCCGCACACCCTAATCTCAGAGGTTTGAGTGCCTGTTAAGTGAGATGAGCTTGTGTTCCATGGAAACACTTTCTGAGCAAGTGTGCTGCACAGGGCAGGCGACCAACCGATTCGAACCCATCCTCGAAAGCTATCACAAAGTAGGATTTGCTCAAGCAATTGTCACTGCACCACATTAGTCAGGCTATAGCCGAAGCACGTTCACCGTGCTGCTCGTCATATTTAATTAGTGAATGCTCTTCTTTCCTTGCAAACGTTTACATGACCAGGGATCGGTTACTAGTTTGGACACTAGTAGCGAGCGTACGTTTTATGCGAACGCGTACAAGAGGCCCTTAAGACACAACAAGCCGCAATCATCCACTTAGAAAGACGGACGTGAAATGCGTGTGATACACAGCCTACTGTTGTGCGCGACCTCGAGTTAGCTGATCTCAAGTTTATGTCGAGACCCATCTCCGAACATCATGTAGAAGGACATTTTCTCCCACATATCAGTTGAGCGTGTGTGTGTCAACGAAACATCTTCTGAGGCTAATCTGAACTGCTGCCACATAACTTCGATCACAGATTCGAACCGCTTCGCTTACCGTTCAGTACGGGATACCAGAATAGTGGGCATGTCCTAGATATACTCATGAGTAGGGGATTTTGATGTAATTATGTGAGGTCCATCGCAGCCAGTTTCCAAATTAGATAGTCGTCCACATGCCCGGAAAAGCACTAGACTGCAGTTTCAGCCTGTTGGGCATCGTCAGTAGTGCGCATCCATCGGATCCGTCAGGATCCGAACCCATGTTAGTGGACGTCGTGTCTTTCGGGGCCAACCCTGTCTTCTGCAACGTTCGTAACTTGCATGGCAGTGGAGGATAAGACGCGCTATATCGCAGTTAGCTTGTAAATCATGACGGTCCGAAGCTGTCCCCCCGTGGCCCAGTGGCATAAGCTGCTGACTGGCGGTTCAAGCTGCTGGTGGTCATTGGTTCGAATCCTGACGGATCAGATGGATACGCACTACTGACGATGCCCAACAGGCTGAAACTGCAGTCTAGTGCTTTCCCGGGCATGTGAATATCCTAGATATATTGAAACAGAGAAAACTGAAATAAAATAACGCTCTGGTAAGAGCTTCGGAGCTGTTCTCTATCAACAGTGAACTCCACGGGCGGTTCCGTCCTGATTTAGACGTTTCGGGTGGAACCCAACACGTGGTGCTTGACGGCTTACACTTTGGTCACTAAACCAGAGTTCCGCGAGCAGTGATTGAAATGGCAGAGCAAACCGTGGCCTCAATTGAGATTGTGTCGCAATCCAGACACACGGTGGGCACTCCAAGACCCAACAATAAGCAACACTGCGATGCCTGTTATCTCTAATTGAAGGGCTCAAATAAGGTCAAAACGCGCCGAGAAGTGCAGTGTTTTCGGGTGGACAACACTCAATATCGACCTGCTTCAACACTATATATTGTTTTATTATGCTGGTAGATGTTAGTCTGAAGAACAGAGACAAAGAAGCTCATAGCACAAACGGCACTGGGGTCGGGTTTTGGTCAAGTCAAATGTTTTCAATTAAAAGTGTCCATCGTCTTTCCGAACCTAATCCGGGAGTGGAGAGGCACCAACCGAAGGCAAATTCGAAGTGCAAACCTTCATTTCTTCTACTTCTTTTTCAATCCGAACTTCGTTCGCGCAGACAACGCACGTCGCTGGAATCGGTGTACTGGTATGCGCAACACATGGCCCAGCCATCAGAGCCTGGTGCGTAAAATAACGGAGCGAAGCGATTAATGTGCTCTTCCTGTGTGTCACAAAGAAGATGAACACGTTCATCACTCACGCGGAGTTCCCACCAGTGGTCGAACGTAATTAGCTTCGGCTAACCCGATGTACAGGAGCATTGTTCATCGTGGTAGTCTTCCTTAACCTGAGGGTTGTCATTCATTCGATTAACCTTACCAGTTTTTGTCAGAGGCGATTTAAAGCGCGTACCAGCGGAATTTCCTTCTATTCCAAAACTCACGATATCGCGGTCCTCGGATCCGCGTTTTGTCTTCTTTTTTTTACACAACCATGCACTCCAGTTTGTCTTGCAACACAATGGCTGTGATGTTTCACGCCTCTGGGTACTGTGCAAAATGATTGAGGAGGGAACCTTAACAAATCCATCATTGTTTCATTATATCATCATCATTACGAATTAGCTGGTGAGAAACGTATTTCAGCTATTATGCCGCATTATGGCCGAAGCCTGTCCACCATTCTCGTATTCCGTGCCGAAAGTGCAAGCAGATTCGAATGGTCTTTTGCAGAGCGCATTGCAAGCGGTCCAAATCTGTCATTGGAGGTATACGGCAGCATGGTTACTTGGGAAGATGTTTCATTGACACACACACACACACGCTCAACTGATATCCTGTATGCAGAGTTTGTGGGAGAAAATGTCCTTCTACATGATGTTCGGAGATGGGTCTCGACATAAACTTGACATCAACTAACTCAAGATCGCGTACAGCAGTAGGGCGTCTATCACATACATTCCACTTCCGACTTTCTAAGTGGGTGATTTCGGTTCGTTGTGTCGTAAAGGCCCCTTGTACGCGCTCGCATAAAGCGTACGCTCGCTACTAGTTTCCAAAGCAGTAACCCGTCTCCGGTCATGTAAACGTTTGAAAAGAAGAGCATTCACTAATCAAATATGCGAAGCAGAGCCATGCACCGATTTAAGGAAAAGCATACGCCGATATTATCGCGCGGGCTGCTCTATCGCTTCCTTTCTTTTCAACTTTGTGGTCAAAATGATCACAAAGTACTCTCAACTGCTTTATACATCGCTTCCGCAATAGTCGGATAGATAACCGATTGTCATGCTACGAGTATGCGACAAATAGCTGTCGTTCAGTTTCCATTACATAAACTAACACAATGCGATGCACACGTACGTGTGTGCGCGCTTCGTAACTTCAAAATGTAAAAAGTTACATACTCGGGTCGAAACGTCGTTAGCCGTAACGAATAACCGCTGGAAGTTGTTGATCGACTCCATTATTCGGCAGATCATTACCGGAGGTTATTGCATTCACTGGTAGGAATAGTGAGCCCTACGAAGTGGTTTGTGGATTTAGTTAACTAAATGGGCAAAAGTAGTGTTCACGGAGTGATTGCGCCTATCGGTATTGTATAAATCAGAGGCTTGATCAGTGGCGCCAAAGACCGACGTTGTTTGATTACCGATGCCTAAAAAAATAATGGTCATCATGTCTGACCACTGAGTGAATAATGCCGGAGCTTGCTAGATGACATTTGGCAGCAGTTGAACTGAAATCGCTATCATGCATTTTACACGCCTGCTGATCAGTTGCCTCGGCGTATACGACTTGCCAACGTTGTACTTGATCGGCCGAAAACCTGAGATGATTAGTCGATGGCAAGACAAAAGGGTATGAACCAATTGATGCACAGTGCAGCTGCACTGTGCATGGGGTCTTTGAAAGTACAATAGTTACGCCAACGATTAAAGATCCATATATGGCACTGTCAAGAATTTCGTTGCATTTTGCTTTGGTTCACATAATGTGGTTTGTTATTCTGTTGAACTCATTCCTCATACATTTCCCATCTCACAGATCTTTTTGGAAATTGATTACCATATTTTTCATTTTTGTCCATACTACAGGGAGTGCTACACTTTGGTTTATGGAGAAATAATAGAAACTATGGCCTGAGGTACCACAGTCCGGATTTATGTAACGTAGGTGCAAGCAAGAACAAGCGCAACTCACTAGGTTGTCCAAACCAGGGGCTTGTTGACGGTGATAGGTGAGCACTTCTGTGAAGTCAGGATGTCTCGTATTCACGTAAGCCAATTCGATGGAGACCAGATTAGTGACCATTTGATTGGTTGGCAGCAAGCGTTTACGCAGCACGGAAGTGATCACGTCCACAATACGCTCGTGCAGTTTAGGAAAGCGCAAAAGCTCTTGCTGTAAAAGAACACAAAAAGCTACCGGTGAGATCATGGGAAAAGACAAATTGCAAATACTTCCCTACTTCGCAAATCCATGTCACACCGTCAGCGACTTTTGTGAGCAACACACATGCATGTACATTCATGTTGGATGAAAAGAGTCGCACACCAAAATCGCAAACACTCATTGAATAATGCGCCAGATGGATAAAGCTGCTTTGATAAGGTGCAATGGTTACTGATGTAGCAATGCGAAAAACAAAAAATCATCATGACGGACCAGAAACGGGAAAAACACTCACAACCACTTCTGTTGAAAAAATTAACTAAATGACATGAAGTCGGGAGGAGTAGCAACTCGTGCCTTAAACTGTCTGGGATACACATAGACGAAGCAGGCCCGGTAGCGCGTGATCCCATCAGAACGCATACCGTATGAGATTGTGTGGAATGGGTATATCAGACAGCCCTCCAAATCAAGTTGAGTGGTTATTCTAATTTCAAGTAATGATGAATGGAGACAGAAGCCAATGAGACAGCTACGAAGGGGAACTGTCTTCCCTAGCTGACGCGAAAATGGGCGAAACCGCTAGATGTGTACGAATGATGATGGCAGACAGATCAGATGCTGAAAGATGTGCACCGCAGTAGTCCAAACCGAACGGGTTGCACGTACCTCTGCACATAAATAATCACATTGTTTTTGCTTTTGCACTCGAAGAAAATAACCAATGAGCCATGTGTCTGTTTCGCATTCTGCGAATGTGTGCATATTCCGAGAATCGAGCACAATTTTCAAATATCTGATGTTATCCGCATCACCAAAAGCCTAGCCTGAATTGAATGGTGGTTGCTGACAGTAGTAAACATCGAGACTGATCTCCTTGCGAATACTTCAATTTTTGCCAACACGGATACAGTGACAAAGACATCACTATGCGGGTGACGAGGTGAAAAGTGCTGTCGCAGTGCCCAACATACTGAGCGAATAGATTGCGTTCCCGTATACATGTCCATTACTATTCTGCATATCAGATAGACGTGAGAAATACTTCAGTCTCTGTACCGCAATTCAATTAGATGGTAGTAAAATAGGAATGATACAGAAAACAGCAACCATAGTAAAACTAAGAAGAAATATTGTCTTGCTTTGTTTCATCGCATACACTGACGATGTCCTGGTAGGAAGATGAGGCTAAGCGATGTGGGGAGGGATAAACATCACAAGATAAACAATACTGAGTCGATTTTGCGCAATATCAACAAGTGTATCCAACCAAACGTGCGTTTTCTTTCGGAGCCCAACAAGGGAGTCAGGGGGGCACTAACTGAATACATTTTAGATGGACTATTATTGGCCGAGCTCCGAAGTGCAGTGGGTCCAGCAGCCACAACGTGTCACCAGGATAACAATAAGCAAAGGTTAGGAAATGAGGTCAAACGCAAACAGAATACAGAGAAAATGGAATCAAGAATGAAGTACGTTAGGCCAATCGGAATGAAATGAAAATTAATAGCTGGATAAGGGGAACCGAATGCTGGAAAGCCACCAACTGTACAACTGCGCCATGTCCGATGTTTCCCAGCCAATCATGTGGACTATCCCGAGTACTACATCTACGCACCAGCTTAACCAAGTCTCTGTCAATTTCTTTATGCATTTATCTCACGTCAACTAGTGGCCACCTCGCGCTTTAGTCCAAATCGATGCAGCAAGGGTGTATAATGCACGCGGAGGACGCCAGTCAACAGGTATACGGAGGACATGACCTAGCCAGCGTAAGCGATCACGATTCAGAAAACACTCCAGCGAGGCACCAGAAGGCTTCTTGCCAAAAACCAACTGGCGGACCTCAGCATTGTTCGCCCGATGTTCCCACCAGACTTGAACAATACTCCGTAAGTATCCGTGATCAACGGAACAAATCGTTTAATGTCTTAACTGCGAAGTGATCACGTCTATGATAAATACATTAACCCAGGCTCTATCGCAGTGTCAAACACCCTACCTTACACTGGAAGGCTGATATCCTATCTTCTCCATAGATAGTTGAGCCTCTGAAATACCACACGGGCCTTGCTGATAAGAAAAGTAACTCCTCCGTGAAATCACTAGAAGTGACACAACCACAAAGACAAGTGAACCGATCCACCGCTTCCAGTAGCTGTTCGCTGAAATACAGAACCGGTGACATGTCAAGAAAGCCCTGTGACAATACTTTGCACATGTCAATCTATTCGGTAGTGTTTACACAGCAATTAAGTCAGACCCAATGGCAGCTACGTCGTCTGCATACTCAAGATTTGTGAGTCGATCACCTATCAGAACCATCATTCTGGAAGGACGGAGTCGTTTATAATCACTTTGACCAAAACGTTCGAGAGAAAATGGGTATAGGACAAACCTAGTGAACCCTACTTGTCGTGAGAAACGCAGGCCTCAAGAGTCACGGTAGATATTCGGAATGGAAAAGAATTTTCCAGACATTCCCTTCATGATTAGGCAGTTCTACAAGCTGACACGATCAGCGGCGTTGGAGGCGGCTTCCTGGTCAGGGAAGATCAAACAAGATGCAAACAAGACTAAGGCGAAAGGCTTTCCACGATTCGACTAACGGGGACCAGTACATCGTCGAAGGATGATAACCATGAGAAGTTTGGAGGTATTGAGAATATGACCAAAGTCCATTAACTCTTTGTGAAGATGGGCACGACAGTTGACAGTCGCAAGTCTGAAGGCACCACTTCAGTGTCTCAAATAATATTGAATACAATAGCAAGTCCAGACAACATATCCATATTTCAGCAAAGACGGAGAGAGTTCTTTGGATCCAGAAGCCTTGTTTCGTTTTAGCACGGCAAGCCGTGTCGGATTCCTTCCAAAGTGGGATGTGTGACATCAGCTTCCCTTCCTTGGCTCAGGTGACTTAGCAAGTGGTAGTTTCTCAGAACTGCAAAACCGTTCTTCCAAAATTTCCATTTTAACTGGATAGTTGAAGCGATTTAGACAGGACGGACCGTCCAACTTTTTCAGCTACTGTCCCACTGAGGGATTTCTTGGATCGGTGTTTTGAAAGGGCTGGAACAATACTTGGCTATCCCCAATAGGCTTACTCCATCGCACGCGCCCTTCCAACCCAACAACGTTCTGGTGAATTCGAAGACGTCTTGTCAGTCGTCGTTTCAAGGCGCAGACGGTGCAACGTAACCTGTTTCCGCGTTTCCAGCAAACAGATCAATGTTTCAGTGATCCATACAAAATTCGGACGTCTCAAGCTAAACGTAAAACAGGAGTCAAAAGTATTCTTCACCGCACATTTGAGACGATTCCAGTCAGTGCTCAGCACATCAACCTCACTCATCACTGACAACTGATAGGTCAGTTCGTTATGACATTGTTGGACTGGGGAAGGCGAGATTGGATTACAAGTGAGAAGCAGGAAGAGCAGGAAGAGTGGTTGCAGGTTTGCGCGCACCAGGGCCTAGACGGGATCTAGGCACGGGTTGCTGCTACACAGCTCGTAATATCATCAAGCTATTCCAAAGGCGCGATTTAGTCCAGGAGGCAGTTAGATTTCTGAACGACTTCTACTTGATATCCATCAAGGGTCAGCACAGGAAGCGGTTCCTGTCTATCTTGGAGATTAACTTTTCATCTTGAAGGCACAGTCTGAAACGGTTGATAGACAGCGCTAACAGACCCAGTATCGTTTGGCACGTTTGTGAACTGTCACAGATGAGAGCAGTATCGGCACCACCTCCAGTGTCCAGTGAATGCGATTTCTATAAATTATTAATGATGAAGTTAGAAAGGAAGAGTGACAATGAGCTTCATTTTCCCCCACCGCTGGAGATATAGAGGGGTGGCAACAGCTGGCTTGCCGAACTACCTCGTGGTGCCAACTGGGTGGTTCAGGTTTGCTCTGTTCCAGTGAAAAGTTCGGCGGCAGTGTGGATTTTCGCTTGGCAACCGTTCTCTCCTTAAAAAGGCAACGCGTCCGTTTAACAACACTATGACGTGGCGGATGTGACTCGCCACTAAATGAAGTCATCGCCCCTTGCATCGCCTCAGCGAAGCATTGTAATTCCATGAATACAGTCAAAATTTCTGAGCAGACTGGGCCCCAGTTTGGCAGATCGTCAAACAAAAAGCGTATGAACCGAGCAATCGGTCACCGACTTCAAGTGGACGCGAAGTCCTGATTTCGCCCCACTGCCTTGAGGATAGGCTATTGAGCCAAAGGCTCGGGGCAGAGTCCTCTAAGTCAGCTCTCTACCTCGGCTTGGGCAACCGGGTGGTTTTATGCCCGCTGAGAAAAACCATGGAGTTACCTTCTCACGCTACTACTGTTTTTGTCGTTTGCCAACTTCCATCACACGTTAACTCTTCATTTGTTGTCAATCCCCAATCCGTTGATTCTACTTTCCATACTGGTTTTGCCGACACGAAAAGCTCAATCGACGACCTTATTTCGACCTCGATCTATATTCCGATTGGCACGCTTCAACGTACGAACGCTCAAATTGTCAACAAGCCGGCGCGGCGCGTACCCAGGAGTCTCTCGTCATTGACGTTTGCTGCGTTTCCGAAACCTGGTTGCGGGACTCCAGCAGTGTACTAAGACTAATGCCCCCTTCTGATCGTGGAACCACATCCCACCTGCATCTATCCACTCACGCAGAAGCAGCAGCAGCGGGTTCGCCTGGAGTTAGGGTAGCACTAAGAAAACCATAGATGTGTTGCTCGAGTGGATTCCAGCTAACAGTCGGCTATACGCAGTTCAGAGTCAGGGATCATGTCGTGTCAACAGGCATCGTAAGGAAACACGCGACTTGCTTATCACTTCTGCCTGCGCCCCAAATGACTGCAGCCGTGATTCCGTCAAGAACGATGCCTGTGTCTGCGCGGTACTGTTGTACGGAAGTGAGTTCTGGCCGATTCGAGTGGACGACGTGCGTCGATTTCCGGTCTTCGACAATACATGGTTGTGGAAGATAACATTGTGTGATGGCAAA